CTTCAGCTTCCTAGCTGGAATAATATTCACAAAACCTAAGAACTAACTGAATTTACAATACTCCACAGAGCCCTCTTGACTCTGCTACTCTCCTCAGGGTCTCATCCGCCTGACTGAAAATAAACTCTCGCTTTCAAACCTTTTCTACTTAAGCTCCGCCCACCTCCTCTGGCTTGTCACCATGGCAACCTATCTCTCTCAGCTAGGCCATGGCCACAATGTAAAGCCTAAAACACAGTTTAAAACACAGTATAATAAACACTTCTCTACACCTTCCCCCCCAGAAAAAGTATTTTTGCACCATTCTTAGTCCTAGAAGGGCAAAAATAACTTCATACATTACTCAACAATAAATACATATACATAACATTCCTGAAAGGGAAACATATTATGGTTAAACACATTTATATTACACATTTATACAAACCTCTAACCTATGGAATCCTAGATAAAGCGTCCGCAACTACATTTCGTTTACCTGAAACATGTTTCATTTCAAACACAAAATCCTGCAAACACAAACTCCATCTCAACAACTTATTATTCGTACCTTTTGCATTATCCAATTTTTTCTCAAAACAAAATAAGTCTGTCCTCACCCTCTACATCTAACTGGGTTCTGTACAAAGACCATGGGTGAAGCCCAAGAGCTACTTAATGGAACAATAATACCTGGATCCCACATTTCTCTAATTTCTTTCTCAATACATTTATTAATTCTCCCTGTAACCCTGTAGGGTGGAGAGATTATAGGAGTGGCATCACCGGTGTTTATTTGATGCTGAACCCCTTGGACCTTTCCTGGCAAATCCGAAAATATGCCTCTATATTTACTTAACACTTCTACGACCTCTCTATGCTGCTTGTTAGACAATTCTATGTTCATATCTACCCGATCCAAATTTTTACACTGTTCACGATCACCCTCCCAAAAAGAAAAGGGACCGGATTCTTCTTCCGCAACAACAAAACATACATTCGCAGACCTTACAACATAAGGTTTTAACATATTTACATGGGCTCTCCTTTCAACATTTAAATGTTCATCATAGATGTCATAGTTCACTTGGTTGTGCTTTCTGGTGACTCTCCATGGTCCCGACCAATCTAGTTGAAGCTTGCTGGTTCTGTTGGGCGACAAAAACAGGACTTCGTCTCCCACATTGAAGGTTCTTGGTTTGGCCGTTGCATTGTAATAGTATTTTTGCCGATGTTGTGCTGCAGTTAGATGCTCCTGTGCAATGTCTCTGAC